AAACTTAATTAAATGATATAGAAATAATAATGTAAAAAAGTCACTCTTGTAATCAATTTTTAATGCGTTGGGCATTCTCTGATAGGTCGCCAGTTCCTATAAAATATATGTTTAATATTTTTATACTATTCAAGATATTTATTTCAGATTTTATTAACAAAATTTATAAATATATGTATACCTGTACAAGTGCCATGAGGACTTTGCAATCTTCACGTACAGCTTTTCGTACAATTATCCCAGCCATTACAACAAACGTTAATTTCAGCTTCAAATATTTGCAGTAATTAATTTGCAGTTCAATATTTTAAAAATATTAAATGTTATTTATATAAAATTTATATAAAATATAGATAAAAAAGTCAAACTTAATAATACTCTTTGAAATTCGAAATGACTTGAACTAAACTCGTGTATATGTTCTCACTACTAAATTTAGTAACATATTACAACCAGGAGGATGTAGATTTTAATATATACTCCCGCAACAGTATAAGTATTCCCAGCAACCAAGTATACATATATGCTTTCCATTTAGTGACACAAGTCGACACAAGCCATCATTCTATCTTTTTTCAATATCCAGTGACGATAAAAATTGATAATGACGCTTGCGTCAACGTGCCACTAAAAGGAAAAAAATTCCAAGTCTGTTTAAAGCAAAGTACAAACTGTGTGTTGCATATATTGATTACGCTCCACGTAATGATACAAATTCTTAAAGCATTGGTCAGTTAGTAAAATTCTTTCTTCTGATTGGTCAATCAAATGTTTTGAAGTATTTGTAGCATAAAGTGGACTACGCTCACATGAAATATTCCACTAATAGTAGAGCACTGCAGTTTGCTGTTTTTCTAATATCAATAGAAATATGTTTAAAAACTAGCAAGCCTTACATTATGACATCGTGATAATATATAAACATGGACTGCTAGTCTCCCCCACTTTTACTATGTAAAAGACATATGCCCGGTGTCGTTGAACTGAAGTTGGTTGAGGTATCGAACTTCGATTTTTAGGCTCCACCACGGTCAGTAAGAAAATGTCAAATATGTCCAAATGTATTAAATGTTATCTTGACAATTGATGGGATAGCCAGAAAAAATCTCAAATCGACGGAAAGAAATTAAAAACAGACTTAACATCTTTCCTTTATACGTAAACACGCTGATTTTATAGAAGCATTCCCCCTCCCCTCAGAAAATTACTGATGGTGTGAAGTCTTCCAGCTTGGTGACACGTATGAAGTTAATTACTATCAGCCTATATTTATATAGGCAAAGATGATAGCAAGGTATGCTCCATTTCTGCTCATAGATATTTATCTATATACTAGAGACCGCTAACTTGGTTTGGAGTAACGCATGTGCAGCATTGGAATAAGCATGTAAGTTGTCATGCATATAAGTGAAGATTAAAGTAAACATATAAAAAAATTTTAAATAGTTTTCTTAAAAATAAGAACGTAATGTTAAATTAAAACTATAATATGATATATTTCAAACTTTATAGTCGTAATTTACCAATAAAAAATCAAAAAATTAGATAATTATTATTAACTTTCCATAAGATATTAGCTACGTTTAGCAAAATATTGTTTTGCAATTGGATGTTATTTTTATTGACATAAGATTTTAGATTAAGAATAAGTAGAATTCCACTAACGCAAAAAGTGCTTATTAAGTGCTAACTTTCTGTTGAACGTAACCAAAGACGCAATCACATATACAAATTATTTTTCTGTACTATTCTTAATTTTTTATTTTATAAAAATATTTTATTCTATTATTCTTTATAAAAGTATTCTACTTATTCTTAATCTAGAATCTTATCCCAGTAAATATAACATCCAATTGCAAAACAATATTTTGCTGAACGCAGTTAATATCCTACGGAAGGTTAATAATATTTATCTAATTTTTCAATTTTTTACTGATAAATTATATATTATCTTCAACATTTGCAAAAAGCTAATTATTTTTATCTCGACTGTCGTTACTTTATTAACACTTATGAAATAATGTACTTTGTGCGTGCGTACACTACATATACTGTGTATATATACACGTGGATATGTGTATACTTGTGCGCGCGCATTATATGATGCAATAAATAATTAATCAAATTTACAATAAAAAAATATCCCGATAATCATCAAATCTATCATATCTAAATAAATTTTGCAAATTTTGATTTCAAACAAATTTTGTGTCTACAAATTTTATTTTAATAATGTTTATTTATCCAAATTTTATTTTAATAACATTCCGCATTTATTCACAAATAACAGATTGATGCTCAATTTATGAAAGTAATAATCTGCAATTAATCTGTTATGACGGAATGCAGAAATATATCAGAAACTGCTAAATGCCAAAATTGGGCATGCAGTACTCGTAGAATGTGGATAAATGGAAGATATTATTATTTTAATGACGAATTTACGACAAATTCTGTTCTCTTTCTATTCTGCTTGCAGAACAGTTTTATGTGAACATATATTATAGCTGATGTCAATTTACTGTAGTATGCTCGAATCTGTTGGACTGCAAGAATATATATTATATTATCTATCCATCTATCACTATACCAAATAGCTGCTGAAAATATATATTGGATATTGATTATATAATAATAAAATATTTTATTATATATACCTACATATATATATTATATGTATATATCATTAGTAAACATAATTAACAGCCTTTATTATACAATAAAATATTTTATTATATATGTTACTTTTGAGGGAGAATTGGGGAGGGGGAGTATGGGTTAGGAGATTTTAGTTTCAAAAAAATATTTCTTTTACAAGGAAAAAATTCTTTAGGATTAGGAAATTTTAGAAGAGGGTGAAAGTAGGGGTAGCTAAGGTTTAGTATTGGGAGGAGTTGACGTAAAAAAATTTAATTTTTATTTAAAAATTTACTAAATTAATAAAGATATACTTTAGCGAGGGATTGGGAATTTAAAAAATTTAAATTAGTGAAGAGGAGAGTTAATATTTAGAATGTTAAATTTAATAAAAGTTAATAAAAGAAATTAATAAAAATAACAATGACACCTTGGATGACGCTAATGCCGACAGTACTCCAACTTTCAAGCTTCATAACTCAAGATTTATTTCATAAAAAAATATTTTATTTATGTGTTTTAGAAAGTTCTCGAGGCGTGCTATAAGAACATGTAATGAAAAATTGGGGGTTCCATTTAAAAAATTCAAAGTGACCTTGTCCTGATCTTGACGACACCACTCAGGGTCAAACCAATGTTATCATCTTATGTCCCCCTTGAAACCCTACAACTTTTGTCTGAAACATTTTTTCCTAGTGTGCTTATTTTTCGAGATATTTGAAAGTTTCAGGTTAAAAAAATCACCCTGTATATATATAAGGATATATTATATAGAATAATTGGATTTTATGTAGGATTGGAGTATTATTCTTTTTGGTTAGTGATTTTAAGAGTTTGAATTATCAGACTTATATTTATGTGTTTGGATAATATTGATTTAAAGAAAATATTAGATTATTATTATAATATTATTAGATATTATTATTATAATATTATTAGATTGGTTATATATTAGATATAGATATAACTTTTTAATTTTTTTATATTTTATTTACAAAAAAATTATTTAAAACTCTCTCATAATTATTTTAGCTATTTTAGAGAATTATTTAAAGAAAACTACGATTAAAATATTTGAACACATTTAGAAGTGCCTATAAATATTAATTATAAATTTATTCTCAAAATTTGATTAAGTTTTTATATTATGTGAAAAGACTGAAGAACCTCAATCCTTAAACAGTGTAATTGGGATAAGAAAAGTGTCTCAAAAGATTAGTTTCATGTTAAATAAATTTCTAGAAATTGCTTACATCACTGGAAAAAAAAGTACTATTAAAAATAATAAAAATCAGCGGTTTTATGACAATGTATGACTGCTAAAATATAATGTATAATTGTTATTTGTAAAATTATTTGTAAAAACCCTAAAATCGAGAAATAAAAAAATTTAATTAACTTTTAACTTTTCAATTACTTTTTTTATTAACTTAACTTTTAATTTAATTAATTTCATTATGGATTAACTGGTAACTTAACAAAATTAAATTTTTAGGCTGTTAACTTTAATTTAACTTAATTTAAAAAAAGATTAACTTACCCAACCCTGTAAATATATATTACATAATTTGGATCTTAGAACATATAATACACTGCTCAAAAAAATTATGGCATAGAAAAATTTTGAGCAAAAATTGGTCAACTTTGATTAACGGTAACTCCGCGAAAAATCATCGTAAAATGATGAACTTTTTTTCAAATGAAAGGTTCGGAAGAGC